TACTCGTAGCCCGCTCCGGCCACTGCCCAACCTGCTCCGCCGGCCGGCCGCTGCGCCCCGCTCGTAGCCCGCTCCAGCCGCTGCTCAACCTCCTCCTATCGGCTTCGCGCGTCGCCGCCCGCTTGGCTCCGCCGGCCGCCGCCGCTCCGCCCTCCTGCCGGCGAGCTTCGCCCGCCGTCGCCTCGCCTGTCCGCCTTGCTCTGGCGAGTTGGCATGTGTTTAGAGAGAGGATAGAGATAATAGATGAGGCCAATTGTGACTGTGGGCCCCACCATTTTTTATTATTTATGTAACTGACATGTGGGTCCCACGGGTTTGATTTTTTATATCAAATTGTCACGTCAATGCCACATTGAACGAAGACCTAGTCAAAGAAGCGCCACATAGGCGCCACGTCAACCAAAACCAGCGACTATACCGCCAAGGGACCTTCTTTGCACGGTTTTGTAAGTTGGGGGATGCGTTGTATCCGGTTTTGTGCTGCAGGGATGAAAATCAGACTGGGCGACAAATAGAGGGACCTAAAGTGAACTTATTCCAAGGAAAAAGTACACAAGATCCCTCACCGGAGTTTGCTAATTCGCGCATACGCGCCGCAGGCACGCACTCCGGCCCACCCGGCCCACGCGCGACACGCGCGCCGTCGCCCACCAACAATTTTTTTTTGGTTTTTGGTGTTTTTTTCCCCATTGCTTTTTCCCTTTTTCGCTTTTTTTTCCTGCGCCGTGGGAAGTCGAATCACCATGAATATTTTTTTTTGTGATTTTCTAAATAATATGCGCACGATTTTATTTTTCGTGATTTTTTCACATGTTTTGTTGTGAATTTTTTAAACCACATGCGCACGTTTCAATCAAAAGTTTTTAAAATTTTAATAAAAAGTTTTTGAATTATAAGTTTGAAAGTTTTTATAATTTAAGTTGTATGATTTTAATTTTGAGATGAAAGTTTTCAAATACGAGTTAAAAGTTTCAAATCTTTAGTCGAAAGTTTTTAAATTTGAGTTGAAAGTTTTTAAATTTTGAATTGAAAATTTTAAACTTTCAACACTAATTTAAAAACTTTCAACTCTAAATTTAAATTTTTAACTCAGATTGAAACTATTCAAATTAAAAATTTGAAAAAAAAATAAAATCAAAAATTAAAAACTTTCAACACAATTTTGAAAACTTTCATTTCAAAATTTGAAAACTTTGAACTCAAATTTGAAAACTTTCATCTCAAAATTTAAAAACTTTCAACTCAAATTTGAAAACTTTCATCTTAAATCTGAAAACTTTCAACTCAAAATTTGAAAACTTTCAATCCAAAATTCAAAAACTTTCAATTGAAAAATAAAAAGCTTTCAACTCAAATTTAAAATTTTCAACTATTCTTTTTAAAACTTTTAACTAAATATTTATGTTTTTTAAATATTTATTGCTAATTACCATAATTAGCCCTAATTTACTATAATTAGTATTGATTAGGTAATTAGCCTAGAAGGAAGCGGCCGCGTGCGCGCTGCTTCTGTGGCTCGGCGCGCACGCGCCGAGTAGGAACACCCTCCCTCATCTTATCATCCAGTTACGAAATTGTCCCCTAACCACAAAACCAGATATATTATATCCTTCAACTTACAAAACCGTTCACTTTAGGTCTTTCGGTGATTTTGATCCTAGTTTTGTCTAACGTGACAGCTGAGTCAGCGTGAGGCCCACGTATCATGATGCCACGTCATCACCCTCTCCCTTCTTCTTCTCTCTTTCTCACACACTTTTCTCCTCTAGGCAAGCTGGCCGGCGGATGGGGAGGAGGTCACCAGGGGTGAGGCGGGAGAGGAGGAGGTCCGGCGGTCGGCGACGAGGTGGCGGTGGCTGCAACGCGGGAGCAGGGCGCTGTGCCTGGGTCGGATGTCCGGGGCGAAGACGACTGCGGCGGCGGCGACCGGAGGATCGAGGACCCTCTCCTCTAGTCATCTCGAGGAGCACAGCCGGTAGGAGAGGAGTGCTGGCACGGTGGGGGAGGAGGGCTGACGAACCCATCCATGGCGATTTGACGGTGAGACGGCGGATGGCTTGAGTTGTTCGTTCAGACTTCAGAGTGCCTTGAGCATAATATCTCTCCGATGCTGGTGGTGGTGAAGGCGAGGCCCTCTTTTAGGTTGAGCACCTTGACCACACCGTCCTCTGCCAGGAACGCCAAGGGCATGGTCCTTCCCAAGCCAGAAATTCAGAAATGCCGCTCCTTGTCCTGATTTTCTTCCTAGTCCTCGGTGTACTTTGCCCCGCGGCAGCGGCCAAAGAGCAGTTAATCTTAAACGAGTTCACCAGCACAAACCTTCATCTTCGACGGCATGGTGATGGGCTGCTCGATCATGCTGACCAACAACGTACACAAAACAAGCAAGGGCCATGTCTTGTACTGGTGCCTGCCACAAGATGCCCAATAGCACGGGGGATGCTTGCAGTCCTTTCTCCAATTAATTATGCCTTCGTCATCATGTTCGAGGAACTGAGCAACCACGGCATGTGCTCGGCTCCAATGCCGCCATTGCCGCGGCCGGCTGCTGCATGCTCCCGGATCGATGCCGATGGCGTCTTGGTGCAGCTCGTCGGAGTTCATCGGCTGGAAGATAAGAAAGGAGGAATGAAGACGGAGAGGGAGGAGGGCCGGCGAGCTCGCCCACTCCGCCCGACGCTGTGTGGGTGTGGCGAGGAGAAAGCAGGAGATCAGGAAGGAGAAAGGTGGAAGGAGAGGAGGATGACATGTAGGCTCCACATGGGGCCATCAATTTTTTTTGTATTTTTTTTATCAATTTTAGTGTGACGAGATAAATTGAAAGTATAGGTTTCCCAAATACAATTTGCTTTTTTATCCATGCCTAGCAAAGTTTTAATTTGGATGCAAACTATTGACATTGTTTTTAATATTGCATGATGTGCAACAACATAGAGAATTAAATTTGAAAATATACTATTCATCAATTTTTTTTCTTAAGAATAGTCGGGATGCAAAACTTTTTACAAAAATATAAACTGTTGCGTGAAAATAATGTGTGCGTAACGTTGCGGGCGGTGTCGCACCAGGGAAGCGGTCTCGCGGAGCGAGACCGAACGGTCTCGCAAAATCAAATAGCGAGACTGTCTAACAGCTCAATTTAATTAGTGATTAATTACTTAATTAACAATTAACTAATAATAATTTAGTATTAATAATAATTTAGTAATTAATTATTATGATTACTGATTAATTAATCACTAATCATGATAATTAATCGCTAATTAAATTGGCATTGAATGGCTCATGCATGAGCGAGAGCGCTATCCGCGAGACCGCGCGGTCTCACGCTGCTGCCGAGCAAGACCGTGCGGTCTCGCGCTTTTTCCGCGTGATACCGTCCGTGACGTCATTCTCATATCACTTTCACGTAACGGTTGTGCGAGACCGACGATATATTTCTGTAAAAAATTTTGCATCCCGAATATTTCTGAGAAAAAATTGAATGAATAGTATATTTTCAAATTTAATTCACAACATAGATACATGTAAGCATTATTGAGGCATCTCCCATATTCAAACATGTCCTACCTTTTGTTTTCTTAGGCCTCTCCTAATTAATAGGAGATTCATTTTCATTAAAGAGTGAGATACATAGCCGGTACTTAAACTTGCAGAGTAATATTATTTAGGTCCGTGAACTTGAAAATTACACATTTAGATCCGTGAACTTGGTTTAATGTACCACTCCCGGTCTAATCGTTATTTGACCACGTTTGACCCCCAACATAGCATGCCACGTAGGCAACACTTTTGTACTCAGCCCCCTCCAAATATACATTCGCACATAAATTGCCTTGACCAGTGCATTTCAACCTAAATCCCCCAAAATATTCCTAAATCGGCTAAGGTTTTGACGGTGAGGTTAGTGAAAGGAAGCCGAGAGGTAGCGGCTGTGGTGGCCTTGGCGGTGAGATTAGCAGCAAGAGGCAGCGCAGTGCAGCAAGGTTAGTGGTGGCACAGTGCGGCCGGATTAGCGGTGGGAGGTAGCGCAATGCAGTTTGCACGATAGGCATTCCCATGGATTCTCCAAGCTCGTCCTCGTCTTGAAATCGCCGGAAGAAGGTGTTGTTGATTGCCCGTTGTGCAAGGATAAGGTCATTTTGGAGCATAGAGCAAATGACAATTGCTAATCGGGACCACATTTTCTATACATGCAAGGAGAAGAATGAAAGGGAAGAACGATTTGAGAAATTTTTTTAGGATTCTGATGTCACTATATAGCTAAAAGGAGATATATGCGACGTGTTGTGATGTGGAGGGGGCTAAGAGCAAAAGTGTTGACTACGTGACATGCCATGTTAGCGGTCAACCATAGGTAAATGACGTTTGGACTGGGGGTGATACATTAAACCAGGTTCACGGATCTAAACGTGCAATTTTCAAGTTCACGGACCTAAGTGATACCACCATACAAATTTAGGGACTGACCATATATTTCACTCTTCATTAAATATGGTGTTATGTCAACATTTTTATGATGTGGTAAGGAATTAATGGAGATAGAAATGAAATGAGTTTCATCTAGATTAAACCATATATACATTATTTCCAATATGACTCGTCTATGCATGTGTTGCCTATGAAATAGCAAAAATGAAACAATACATTGTGTGAGTTATTTTAACCATCAATTAAATTTCTTAAATATCTTGTTTATATGTCACTTGAAAACATACTAATGAAGCCTCCAGTCTGCAAGGAATGGCCTTACTGATATATAGGTACATGTAAATCTCGAGGAGCTATTGAAGGGTGTCATCTACCATAGAGATGGGCTGGTAGTCAAATGGTGACATCTTCTTGAGTTATTGCTTATGTCCTGGAAGCATTTAATTTATTTTGTTTTTTAGCCAAATAATAAGTGCAGCGAGAATTAGTGAAATGGAAAACAGTTGTATCAGGTCTGCCCTTTGTTCTTCTTATATATAGGGGGAGAGAAGTACCAGGGAACCACATTCCCTTTCTCAAAGATGGAAGCAACATCTCTAGATCTTCGCTTCATCTTGGTTCTTGTTCTACTTCTGAATCCAACATTTGCAGGTGCAAGGGTGGATCCACACAGAGCTCAAGTGGTGCACACCACACAGGGTAAGTTCTGAAAAATTCATTAGCATTTGATCATGTTATCACATAAATAAAGTAGCATATGTGTGATTAAGAGGTACTTGTGTATGATACCTGGTAATTTGGATTCTACATTTGCCCCTAGACAGGTGAGTTCTTTCTCGACTATTTTTTGACGTTATTGGTATACCTTTTCTTGTCATGTAGCCTCTATCTAAAAAAAAAAGACTTGATTTCTGGCTAAGCATAGAGGCAAGTAAATAGCCAGAAGTCAAATCTTTTTTAGAGAGAGGGAGTATGTTGTGTCTTGCAATGTTTGTTGTGATTTACTCTGTTTATAACTAGTGCTTTGTGCATATTCAACAGTGAAATTATAGATCAGATTCCTTCTCCATGCAAGTTCTGAATGGTGATAGTCTGATTGATGATAAGCATTATAACAAGTGGTAGTTAATCTCTTTTTTTTCACAGAGGATTGTATTATTGACATTGGCTGGGTAGTGTTCTGCACCAAAAGGTTCTGCAAATTTAGTTGCTGGGGTGAAGGTCTTATAAAGAAGGGGAAAGTCCGAGACTATTGGTGCAGTGATTTTCACGGCTGCAACTGCTTGATTTGCCGTGGCATCTAAAAAAGCAGGGGCTGTTTTGTTAACCGTATATAGTACTAAAAGGTGTATCATCATGCTTAATTATGCATGGGAATAGTCAATAATAAGTCAGTTGCTTCATGTTCTACTGCTATATGATTTGATTTCAGGTCTGGCTCCGTGTGTTATCCCCTCCTGGCTGGGCTGCCCTCTCTCCCCCTCGTGGCAGCTGGCTCCAGGATTGGTGGTCATTCTCCAGGGTATGTTTACCTGAGCACCTTCGCAGCGGCTTCGACTCCTTGGTATTCCTAGTCTCCTGGCAGCTGTAGAAGGAACGAAACTTCAGGGTTTTCGACTCTGCGCTCGCTTCGGTCGCAGTGGTTCTAGAGTCCTTCCGCTCGGAGGGCCAGCTGTGGTCTTTAGCTAGTGTTACTTGTTTTGGGGATTTCTTGGGAGTGTAGCGTGGCTCTGCCCCCCTCCCGCTGTTTGGAGTTGCGTTTTTAACCGTCGTAGTAGTTCCTAGCTTCAAGTCCCCCCTTTAGGCATAAGCCAGTCTAGCTGATTACTTTGTGTAACAAAAACTCTTTTCCTGCTAATATATTGACGTGCAATTCTTTTACGTGTTCACAAGAATATATGATTTGATTCGTCATGTGGATGTGTTGTTCTGAAATGATATTCATGTGGATGCAGAGTGTTTGAAAAAACAGAAAACGAGAAAATCGAGGAGATACGTAAAACGAGACAAGCTATTAACGTGCGATTAATTGAGTATTAACTATTTTAAACTTGAAAAATGGATGATATGATTTTTAAACAACTTTTCTATAGAATTTTTTTAAAAAAGGCATTACCATTTAATAGTTTGAAAAACACACGAAAAATAAAAATAAGAGACTTTTTCCCTCTGTCTAGAACGTATATATAATTCGGCTCGGAATTTTAGGAAGAAGCAATCACTATCACTCGAACCAAATCCTAATAATTTCATTTCAGAATAGAATTCTATTGATCGAAACAACCCCATGAGACTTTGATTTGGCTGGAGAAATTCCTGCGTCTGTCACTGTATTACTCTTTCTGAAGATGGCACCAATAATACTACCAAACCAGTCTTACACTTCCATTAATTAGCTAAATCAGTAGTATATGGTTAATCAGTACAAAGATGCCTTTGTAGATTGTGTACAAAGTTTAAAATTCCACAACTTGATCTTGCTGAATTACCTGTATTGATCCATCTGTAGCTATGTTGCGAGCTATATACGACACCACAAGAACTTCTTAACACTCTTAGGCGTTGTTTAGTTCGCGAAAAGAAAATCTTTAGGGTGTCACATCGGCCGTTTGACCGAATGGTGGAAGGGATTTTCGAACACGAATGAAAAAATTAATTTCATAACTCGCCTGGAAACCACGAGACGAATTTATTAAGCCTAATTAATCCGTCATTAGCAAATATTTACCGCAGCACCACATGATCAAATCATGACGCAATTAGACTCAAAAGATCGTCTCGCAATTTACATGCAAATTATACAATTAGTTTTTTTTCGTCCATATTTAATGTTTCATATATATATCTAAACATTTGATGTGTCTAAACATTTAATGTAACAGAATTTTTAGAAGTTTGAAGAGAACTGAACACAGCCTAAATAAAGCCTTATTTTGCAACAGATGTGCGTCCGTCTAGTTACTCGTCTACTACTTTTGTTTGTTTTTCTTTCCTGACCAGCTGAGCTCAGCACCCCGTAATACTGTAGAATACTGTAGTATTGTAGCGTTATCATGGGCCGGCCATTTTGGGCCTAGATGGGCCTGTTGTGATACGTGGGCTGCTCTTTATATCTACGTTTAACCTTTTGTTATTTTGATGAGAAATTTGCATATATGCCATCCATAGAAATTGGCTTTGCTAGAATACCATCACTTAAATTGGATTTGATCAAATGCCACTCTCAACTAGGGTGTATTCGCTGGAATGCCATCTTAAGACCATTTTGTCCTTAGGCTTCTTCTTCCTCCCATCAATGTAGGAAAAACTCGCCCATGGCCATCGCAAGCTATGGCCGCTAACAGCTGTTCGCGTGCCCCCGTTGTCTTCTTGCTCGTGGCAGTGTTGACACAAAATTTGTCGTACACACGAAGGCCTCAATGATTTTCTTAGCTCTGGTGCAGATCCTATCAATCCGGTTTAGGGCGTGACAATTAATTTGATTCTACAACTAACAAGAAAAAAAATAAAAAGGTTAGATCATGGGGGCCAATCGGCCAAAGGGTCGATATAATACCATGTGCCAACTGAATCCTGAATAAACTTGCCAACCGAATCATCTATAATTACGACGTTAATTCATTATTTGACTCGGTCTTGACTAAAGGTAATTGCCTAATTTTTTGATTGGGCTCTTAATCCAGTGGCACGGTGATTGGGCCCAATTACAGGTATTTTGTTGGGTTTATGGGTCCAATATTCCATAGGCTTGGTTATGAATATAATTTTTCCTCCCCTTTATGTTTATTTCTTCTCAACTTTGGTAGTTTTGTCATATACATCCAAATATACATCAACACTCATAAAAATTATTAGAAATAAACCCTACCACTATTCTGGATGTTTTATACTTTCATATTTATGCAGGTATTTGATAGTGTAAAATTGGTATTTAACAACCGTCAACAACCGCCTCGCCGGACGCCGGCCGCTCGGCCGGTTGCCGGCTTGGCGGCTTGCCGCTGCCGCAGGCCCACAGCGGCGCAACGCTGCCGCCCGCCTTCTCCTGTCTGCCCATCTCCGTTCCCATCCGGACTCCTTCTCAGCTGCTCCATGCCTCCACCGATCCGGCGCTCCACCCTTCAGCCCAGGTAACGAAGAGTGAACAGATCAACAGAATAGTTTCCTAGTGCCTAAATCGATTTGTGATTAGAGATTAGTGAATCTGTAAATAACTTAATATGCAATTTATAAATTATTACTGATAAGTGAATGTGGACCGTTGTTTTTAGGATTGGTAAAACATGAAGAGGAGCGGAGATATTGCGTCGCTATTTCGGAACCATGAAGCAAAGCAAAGAAGATTGCGGTGGTGTTTGAATCTCATAAAGATGAAGATGAAAAATAAAGATTAAGTGTTTCACACAAAGCGAGGTGGTAATAACATGTGATTAATTGAGTTTTAATTGTTACAAAGTTGAAAAATAGATTAATCTGATATTTTAGAACAACTTTCATATAGAAAGTTTTTACACGAAACGAACCGTTTAGCAATTTGAAAAACGTGCCACTTTTATCAAAATTGATTTTCAAAATGCTCAAAATCCGTCAACTTTATAAATTTTGAGGGTTCAAGTCAAGTCCCTCTTTCCCTAATAAAAAGTCCATTTTACTTCCTAACTATTGTACCAACCTCTGTAGAAGAAACGAACAGGACCGCATGTTGCTTATCTTCGGATGAGGTCATTGGTAATGAAGCTCCTGAACCTGGAGAACCACCACCACAAGTTCCTACAGTTGATGATGAAGTTCCTATACCAAGAAAAAATTTGTGGCTACGCCACTGCCGAGTACGATACTTCCTAATTGCAACAAAAAAATTTCTGGCTACGCCGCTGCCGAGCACGACACTTCCTAATTGCAACAAAAACGTGAAAAACACATCAAAGTCTAGGTACACATCAAGTATGACCGACCGGCCGACCGGATTTTCTCGTCAATGAATTCTTGTAGCGCCCGTTCCGTGGTGGCGCCTAGCGGGAAAATTATCTCTTAAAAACCCTAATTGCGAAATTTGCTTCTTTGCTTATTGTCTAGTGTCTGTGCCATCTCAAGATCTCAATCCCCGATCTATCGTCGAGTTCAATTCCGAATCCAAATCCTTCCCATCAAATTCCTCCGCAAAAGTCTATTTTGCCTCCCCCGAGGTCGATGGGCCGAAACCCGCTCGGCCCATCTCTCCCCCGGCCCCCTCTCTCCCGGGCGCCCTCGCTCTCTCTCTCTCTCTCTCTCTCGCCCTCTCCCCTCCCCGGCGCGCTCCGCTTCTCCCCCCACTCAGCTCCGCTCCGCCTCGCCCGCGCGCCGCTCGCGCGAGCGCGTGAGCCGCGCCGCCCGCACCGAGCCAAGCCCTCCTTTCCGCTCCCTCGCTGCCGCTCCCCGCGCGTTGATCGCGCGCGCGTCCGCGTGGTCCTCGCCCGCGTCGCGTCTGCGCCGCCCGGCCCCGCTGCCCTGCCGCGCCTGCAGCCGCTCGGCCCCGCAGCCAGCGCGCGTGCCGAGCCGCGCCGCTCCATCCGCCACGCCTCCCGTTGCAAGCCGCACGCGCGTGCCGTGGTGGCCGACCGCCTGGTCGCCGCCGTCGTCAGCGTCTGCCGCGTCTGTCGCCCGTGTCGTCGCGCCGCTCCAAACCGCCCGCCGTCATCGCCGTCGTCACCGCCCGGCCCCCGCCACTCCGCGCGCAAGCCGCCAAGGGACGGAGGCAGCGCCCCTCCTCTCTCTGCCGCGTCGCCCCCGCTCCCCTCCTCCTTTATCCCGAATCGGCAAAGGGGCAAGCCCCCCTTTCTCCCCCTCCTTTTCCCCTTTTCCTCCTCGCCGGCGTTATCCTCCCTGTCGCCGCTTTGGCCGCGACCGCCGAGCGCCAGCTCGCGACCTTGACCGCGCAAGTCGGGTCCCAAACCGACATTGCCGCCCATTTAAACCCCAGCCTCCCCTTTCCCTTCCTCTCCCATTCGTCTCCGCGCCATTGCCGCCGCCCCCGTGTTCAGTCTCGCCTCCGCCGTCCTTCGCCGAGCGCCGGGAGAGCCGGTGCGTTCGAGGACGCGGAAGGGGACTTCGGCCGCGCCCTCTTCTTCCTCTTCCCCGGCCCGAGGCCGGAGAGATTACTCCCGCGCCGTCGACCTCTCGTCACAGCGCCCCTCCTCATCACGGTAGTGCCTCCCTCCGTTCTTCCTCCTCGCTCCATCTTCCCCCCTTAGATTTCGGTAGTAGCTCGAGTAGCCTCCCCGTAGTTAGCCGGCGCTGCCCCGACCGTTGCCGTCGCTCGCTGTGTGCTCGCTGCCGTCGCCGCTCGAGCTCCGTAGCACCCGCACGTCACCAGCCTCGCTCGGCGTAGCTCCGTCCAATCCGACGCTAGCGTCGAGTTCCCGAAGCCGCGTAGATGCTCTCACCGCCGGGAATCGACCCCTCGTGGCCTCGTCGCCGTTTCCTTCTTCCCTCCCCGCCGGTTGTCGCCACCGCGATTCGCCGCCGTCAAGCTCCCTCCGGCGAATCCGAGCCGTTGGCTCGTCTCCCCTCATCACGAACAACCGCCCGGTGTGCTCGCTTTTGCCCGTATCGCCGTGGTTCGCTCCGCCGCTCGCCGCCGCCGCCCGCCATCCATTCGCGGCCGGGTCGTCGTCTAACTCCCGCCAGCCCACGTGGCCGCCACGTAGGCGCCACGTCGGCGCCAGCTCAGCCTAGACCAGGGTCGAGCCGACCCCGGTCAGTCCCTCCCCGTGCGCGCGTTCCACCGCGAGCCGTGAGGCTGCGCGTGGGCCCGCCGCATCCGCGTCCACCGCGAGCCGCGCGCGTGCACCGCGTCCCTCCCCCGCCCGCGCGCATAAGCCGCGTACTCCCTCCGCACGGTGAGCCGAGC